TTTGCTTTTGTTTTTTATTTTTGGAATAGCCCTTGTCTTTTTTTCTTCATCATCTTCTTTCTTTCTTTCTTTTGTCTATTATCATATCCTATTTCTTAAAAAAACAGAGGAGAAGAAGAACTGCAAGTATTATATTAATATCTATAATTTCTCTTTCCCCCACCACTCTTTTACAGGACACCCATCTGCCAAACGAAACTAGACCAAGATGGATAAGCTACGGAAGGCCCTAAGTGGGAGAGACAACAGCGAGGAGCAGGAGGAGGAGCGGGGGAACATTATCACCCAGGTCTGGCATCATGAACCTTTTTCCACTGTATTGTGTTTTTTTTTTTTTTTGTTTTGTTTTGTTTTTTCTGCTTTGGTATCAAGGAGAAAGATTTTAAGATTTTTTTTTGTGTGTGTGTTTGTTTAGCTGTTTAATTCTTGTGGTAGCTTCAGAGTTCTTGTGTTTATGGAGGGTTTTGTGGTGATAAATGCATCGGCATGCACACTAAATACTTGTTATATTGTGCATTACATATACACAAGTACATGTACAGCACATATTCTTCAAAAATTGAGTTCATTTCACTTTCACTTGTTCTTAAATTCATCAACTCATTATTTGTGAGTCTAGCTCGTCAATTAATTCATGTAAATGAAAATCAAGTGGAATATGTATTTTCTGTGTCAGGACATTTTTAGAATAGTTTGAGAGTGTACCGTTATAGAAACAGAAAAAGAAGAAAGAGGTAGGGCATAGATATTACAGCTTCCTTTTGTTACATACATACATTTCCTTACACACACGCACACACACATGTATGCACACACCCATGTACACACACACACACATGTACGCACACACACATGCACACACACACACACACATGTACGCACACCCATGTACGCACACACACATGCACACACATATACGGACACACATATACGGACACACATATACGGACACGCACATATGCATACGCACATATGCACACACATATATGCACGCACACATATGCACACACAAATACACACACACACATGCGCGCTTGCACACACACACACGCGTGCTTGCACACACACACACGCGTGCTTGCACACACACACGCGCGCGCTTGCACACACACATGCACACACACACACACACGCACACACATACATACATACATACATACATACATATAAATTCTCTCCTCCCCCTCCCCCCATTTCTTTCTTCCTTGCTCTCCTAACCCCTCCTCTTTCTACTCTTGCAGTTCTATAATCCTTGTATAACCACTTTCCTTTTCTTCCTTTTATTCAGGCTAGAAAAATGATTTACCAGAAAACAAAAGCAAAGCAAAGATAAATGTTATTAGTCAAGTGTGATCAGAGGAAAAGGGCCTCTAGATTTGCAGCTGTGTCAGGAAATGTCAGATGATAACTTTGTGCCTATTGCATCATCATCTGTAGCTTGCTGAGTCACTGTACTATACAGGCGGGCATACACATACACATTGAAGCTTTTATGAATAGTTAAATACGTACAGATGAATAGGTACTGTCATAATGCTTCACATGTGATATATAAAGATGTGAGGATTTTGTAAGAGCGGATTTATCCTGAAAAGATTCTTGATTGTTGAGAAAGAATACCACTGGTATACACATTTAAGTTGTCACATCATAACAGATGATTGCCACAAAAAAGAAATAAAACAAAAGAATATCAGCAAAATGTAAAGCTGGATAAGATATTATAGCAGTGAGTGGAAGAGAGATTTGTGCTCTGCTATAAAGAACAGGAAATTATATTAAATACACAGTATTGTTGTTGCTTGGTAAACAGGAAATCAAACTTTGTCTTCCTATGTCATAGACATATCAAGTGCATATCAAGTGCTGTTTTATCCAAGTTCAGCAGCTCTCCACTTTTAGCAGTTGCTCATGATGCCTATCCTTTCTAAATATACCCTAATACAGTGATGCATCACATGGTGCATACTGTTATACTCTTTACCTTACACATTATAAGATGCAGACACACATTGAATATAGTTAGCCATCTAAATATTCTGAATTACAGTATTATTTTGAATATAATTATGAAGGATGCAGCTCGTGTAGTGGGGAGGATATGTTTTGGGTTCATGTTTTAATGTAAGGCAAACTTTAGATGTAGGCTATTAAGTGTGAGACAGTACCCTCCTCTGTGTGGTCAAAGTGTTTGTTTAATGCTTCTTTGCATCCCCTGAAGTGTGACATTTAACCAGAGTGATATACATAGTCCTGCAGAAGGACTTTGTTTCGCCACAGGTCGAACCTCTCGCCAACAACTAATCTTCATCCCTTTCTTCCCATAGACGGAGGACACGCCACTCTTGCGTGTAAGTCTCTTGGGCCTCTTGTAACAATTTTATTTTTTTCTTTCACCCTTTCTTGTTTTCTTATGCCTTCTTTTGGGTCTCTAATGTTTACACTTAATCTTGTAGTCCTTTCAGTTTTTCTTCTTTTTTTTCTCTCCTAATTACCATTG